AAACATGTTGACAAACTAATAGACACGTAATACACAGCATGCTGTTGTCTTCCCTGTTAAACCCATTTGTGATCCTAATAGGAGGCAATTCTAAGCCAAGCTGGGGGAGAAAGAGGCCAGGATATGGCAGGAGCGTGGGAATGCAGACTTTGGAGGACCCCTTGAATCACACCACACAGAGCGCTGCCCCTCGGGATGCATGGGGATGCATTAACATCATAGAAGGGCCCCAGACCAACTTGTGTTACCCAGCTCAGCCTGGTTGGGAGCATGTGATCAAGGCCCTCACTGTTCCTCCCAGAGCTCCAGCATCTTCTGAAATGAGTCTGTGCCTTACAATTACAGCCTTTCCCTGACCCCAGGAAGCCGTTTGCAAGCCTCCTGATGAGCCCAGACTCAGCCTTTGCCTCCTCCTCAGGCAGGAACCCGACTTGGTTTATACCACCATTTGCCATCCTAGCTTAGTCACTCATGGTGGGAGGGCTGTCCCAGTTTGAAGAAGGGCAGATCACAAATGTCAACTGGCTGGAACCCAAGTGCCAGGTTCTTGCCAGAGGCACTCCTTTTACACCAGCCTGCACAGTCTGGAGCCCATAATGAAAGAAGCTGACAGTCCATTAGCAGCAGAGTGGTCCGCAGGGCTCAGAGGAGAGGAGCTGTCATCCCTCTCACTTCAAGGGCTTTCGAGGTGCAATCAACTCTGTGAGTGTGTGTGTGTTTGTGTGTGTGTGTGTGTGTGTGTGTATATATATAAAATATTTTCAAAAAAAAGAATATCTATCACAGCTGTTCCTTTTAAGATGGGTAGACCGTCAACGGTCTGACATCAAGGAGAAGAAATGTCAACATGGCTCTTGTACTCTGTCCTCCCAACCCCTGGGGGCAGGTCTGAAAGACAATCCTGTAATAACAGAACAACTGAATCACAGGATTGCAAGACCCTTAGAGGTCTTCTCATCCAACACCTCACTGATGTGACTCTTCACACCCATGTTCCTGACAAGGAATCTTCTTTTTGTTTGAATGCCTCTAGTCACAAGGAACTCACCCCCGACTGAGACATTCTGAACATCCCACTCGCTGATTTCTCCAATGGCTAAGAAACCTTCCTGATCTGATCTGGCCAGGTGCAGTGGCTCAAGTCTGTAATCCCAGTACTTTGAGAGGCTACGGCAGGTGGATCACCTGAGGTCAGGAGTTCAAAACCAGCCTAGCCAACATGGTGAAACCCCATCTTTACTTAAAACACAAAAATTAGCTGGGCATGGTGGCACGTGCCTATAATCCCAGCTACTCAGGAGGCTGAGGCAGGAGAATCACTTGAACCCCAGAGGCAGAGGTTGCAGTGAGCTGAGATCGCGCCATTGCACTCCAGCCTGGGTGACAAGAGCGAAACTCTGTCTCAAAAAAAAAGAAAGAAAGAAAGAAAGAAAAGAAAATAGAAAGGAAGGAAGAAACCTTCCTGAGCTAAGAGCTTCAACTTGGGGACATATAACTTCTACCCATTGGTCCTAGTTTTACCCTTTGAAGTCACATGCAAAAAAAGGTTAAAAAAAAAAAAAAGGTCCAACCCATCTTCCCAAAGACAGCCTTCTTGTGACTCTCCTTTCCAGGCTGATATGGCTTTATGTGCCCCCACCCATCTGCCAACGGCATTCTGGACAAGATCCAGTTTGTTGATAACATCCTCAAAATGCGGTTCTTATACTGAGAAATGGAAATCTCTACCACAGCCGTTACCAATGCAAACACACACACATGCACACACATGCACATAGAAAAGCAAGCTCCTGTAATTGTCTTTTTATCCATTCCATTCCTTCTTTTTTTTTCTTTTTGAGATGAAGTCTCACTCTGTCACCCAGGCTGGAGTGCAATGGTGCAATCTTAGTGGACTGCAACCTCTGCCTCCCAGGTTCAGGTGGTTCTCCTGCCTCAGCCTCCTGAATAGTTGGAATTACAGGTGTGCACCACCACGCCCAGCTATTTTTTGTCTATTTGTAGACAGGGTTTCGCCATATTGGCCAGGTTGATCTGGAACTCCTGACATCAAGTGATCCACCCGCCTTTACCTCCCAAAGTGCTGGGATAACAGGCATGAGCCGCCGTGCTCGGTCCCATTCCATATTTCATAGTATGTTGTCAAATGCCTTGCTGAAATCCAAGTATATTATATCTACAGCATGTTCTTGATCTCTCACCACATTGATTCTATTAATATCTAGAGAAAAGGAAGAAGGCAAAGCACCCAGGACTGGCCCCAGCCCAGCATGAGAGGAATGACCCACACAGGGATAGGCAGAACTTCTGCCTTCCTTATTCTGGATGCTAATTCTCCTGTTAATTCTACCTCAGATCACATTAACCTGCATGAAAGTTGGAGCTCATTACTGACTCAGACTAAGCTTTGGCCCAGGTCAAAGGCTCAGGTGTTGGTTTTATTTTTTATTTATTTGTTTATTTAGGAGATGGAGTCTCGCTCTGTTGCCCAGGCTGGAGTGCAGTGGTGCGATTTCAGCTCACTGCAACCTCCGCTTCCTGGGTTCAAGAGATTCTGCCACCTCAGCCTCCCGAGTAGCTGGGATTACAGGCGCTAATTTTTGTATTTATTTGTAAAGAGAGGGTTTCGCCGTGTTGGCCAGGCTGGTCTTGAACTCCTGACCTTAAGTGATCCACCCACCTTAACCTCCCAAAGTGCCAGGACTACAGGCATGAGCCACTGTGCCTGGCCTGGTGGTTTTAATATAGGAGTAAGGGAAGCATTAGTAAGAAAACATAAGACATATTCATATCTTTTCCCACCCAACTCCAGAAGAAGCCAGCCCTGAGCTTCCAAAGGTCCTCTGAGTGGGATTCAGTGCAAAGGTCCTGCAAAGGGCAGAGAAGAAGGGAAACGCTTTGAGTAGGGGAGCTGGATGGGGCATTATCATAGGTAGAGTGGTAGTGCTCCAAGACTGGGCAGAATGTGACTGGAGTAGCAGGAATCTGTGCCTCACTGGTACTTGTCACCAGGAAAGGGCATTCTGAACCTTTCTAGAGGAGCAGTGTCCAAGATAACGGCAGATTCCAGGGCCAAACCCCAGCATCCAGTAGCAGAGAGGTTGATGGTAAGCAAAAATCCCTGGCTCTGGCCCTACAGAGGCCAGGAGTCCTGGGTGATCCCAGACAGATGGGAGGGTGCTCAAGAGGTAGCTGGCATTGAATTTCCAGCCACTTGACTGGGGAGCAGAATAAATCTGACTCAAAGCAATAAAGGCAGCCGGGCGCGGGGGCTCATGCCTGTAATCAGCACATTGGGAGGCCCAGATGGGTAGATCACCTGAGGTCAGGATTTCGAGACCAGCCTGGCCAACATGGTAAAACCACGTCTCTACTAAAAATACAAAAATTACGCTGGGTGCAGTGGCTCACGCCTGTAATCTCAGCACTTTGGGAAGCTGAGGCGGGTGAATCACGAGGTCAGGAGTTCAAGACCAGCCTGGCCAACTTGGTGAAACCCCGTCTCTACTAAAAATACAAAAAATTAGCTGGGCATAGTGGCAGGTGCCTGTAATCCCAGCTACTCAGGAGGCTAAGGCAGGAGAATCGCTTGAACCCAGGAGGCAGAGGTTGCAGTGAGCCGAGATTGTGCCACCGCACTCTAGCCCGGACAACAGAGTGAGATATGTATAAAATATGTATATACAAAAATTAGCTAGGTGTGGTGGTGTGTGCCTGTAATCCTAGATACTGGGGAGACTGAAGCAGGAGAATGGCTTTGAATCCGGGAGGCAGAGATTCCAGTGAGCCGAGATTGCGCCACTCCATTCTAGCCTGGGTGACACTGAGACTTGGTCTCAAAAAAATGAATATATAAACAAAGACAAGTGATGTCAGATTCCAGAGTCACCGAGAAAACTCATGCCCCCATATCTCCATGGTGGTCACACCATGGCTCTCCCCCTCTGATGTGTATGCTGTTCATTTTGGGACCCCAGTGTATCACTTTGTATTTATTCACACTACATTTTTCTTTTGACCCATCAAAGCAGCCTTTTGATTTATGAGGCTCCTAATTGTCAGTCATTTTGTAAGCTCTTCCTCCGAGGTTCATGAAACCTTTCATTTTGGCTGCCTCATCCGAGTCATTAATAACAGGTGTTGAATCCAGCTGAGCAAAGGGCAGAGGGCAGGGCTCCAACTGCTAAGGGCTCCTTCCCAGCTGACACTGACGTGCTGATCAGTTAGCTTACTCCCACGGCCTGTTCAGTCTCCCAGGAATTTATCTAACTCCACTGTTATCCATCCCACATATCTCTGCCTTGTTCATAGGATATATTGTCCAATGCCTAGCTGAAACCCACATGTACTCAATCTACCTCACATTCTCCATCTATCAGCACAGTGACCCTATCAAGAAAAAGAAAAATGAAACAAGGTTAATCTGGCCTGACTGACTGGCTCTTGGCAAATCCACTGTAGCTACATGCTGCCCTCAATGCTTTTTTTGTTTGTTTGTTTGAGACAGGGTCTCGCTCTATCGCCCAGGCAGGTGTGCAGTGGCATGATCATAGCTCACTGCAGCCTCGACCTGCCAGGCTCAAGTGATCCTTCCACTTCAACCTCCTGAGTAGCTGAGACTATAGGCATGCACCACCATGCCCAGCTAACTTTTTAAAAATTTTGTAGAGATGGGGTCTTACTATGTTACTTAGGCTGGTCTCAAACTTCTGGGCTCAAGCAATCCTCTCACCTTGGCCTCACAAATTGCTGTGATTACCGGCGTGAGCCACCATGCCCAGTCCCTGCTGCCTTTTCTAAAGGCCCATCGAATCTGGTCAAACCCTACCCAAACCCATTACCAGGTGCCCCTCCGCACAGACTGAATGTCCAATGTCACTGCCTTGGTCTCCCTGAGATTTACAAATCAGAGTTCACAATCACACAGTAAGTATGAGGAAACCAAAAACCAGAAGCCAGACCACTGGTGAAAATTTTCTTTCTTTTTTAATTAAGAAGTCTAAAGAAGCTCCCCCGCCCCCTCGCCGCCGCCGCCGCCGCCGCCAGCGCTGCCGCTGCTGCTGCACTCACGGCGGTTGCCCGCGCCTCAGAGTTACCAATTTATTCTTGAGACTCCTCTACTCTCGTCATCTGACGTCATGGTTGAACTTCAGGATATTCAGCTCACAGAGATCAAACCACTTCTAAATGATAAGAATGGTACACGAAACTTCCAGGACTTTGACTGTCAGGAACATGACATAGAAACAACTCATGGTGTGGTCCACATCACTATAAGAGGCTTACCCAAAGGAAACAGACCAGTTATACTAACGTATCATGACATTGGCCTCAACCATAAATCCTGTTTCAATGCATTATTTAACTTTGAGGATATGCACGAGATCACCCAGCACTTTGCTGTCTGTCATGTGGATGCTCCAGGCCAGCAGGAAGGTGCACCCTCTTTCCCAAAAAGGTATCAGTACCCCACAATGGATGAGCTGGCCGAAATGCTGCCTCCTGTTCTTACCCACCTAAGCCTGAAAAGCATCATTGGAATTGGAGTTGGAGCTGGAGCTTACATCCTCAGCAGATTTGCACTCAACCATCCAGAGCTTGTGGAAGGCCTTGTGCTCATTAATGTTGACCCTTGCGCAAAAGGCTGGATTGACTGGGCAGCTTCCAAACTCTCTGGCCTGACAACCAATGTTGTGGACATTATTTTGGCTCATCACTTTGGGCCGGAAGAGTTACGGGCCAACCTGGACCTGATCCAAACCTACAGAATGCATATTGCCCAAGACATCAACCAAGACAACCTGCAGCTCTTCTTGAATTCCTACAATGGACGCAGAGACCTGGGGATTGAAAGACCCAGACTGGGCCAAAATGATTACAAATCAAAAACACTAAAGTTTTCTACTTTACTGGTGGTAGGGGACAATTCGCCTGCAGTTGAGGCTGTGGTCGAATGCAATGCGCCTGAACCCTGTAAATACAACTTTGCTAAAGATGGCAGACTGCGGGGGACTGCCCCAGGTAGTTCAGCCTGGGAAGCTCACCGAGGCCTTCAAGTACTTTTTGCAGGGAATGGGCTACATACCATCTGCCATCATGACTCGGCTCGCCCGATCACGAACCCACTCAACCTCGAGTAGCCTCGGCTCTAGAGAAAGTCCCTTCAGCCGGTCTGTCACCAGCAATCAGTCAGATGGAGCTCAAGAATCCTGTGAGTCCCCTGATGTCCTGGACAGACACTAGACCATGGAGGTGTCCTGCCAAGCAGATGCTCCTCCCCTGGACCATTGCAAGTCCATCTTTCTTCAAATGACCACTCCATAATAAAACATTTCATCCATGTAAAAAAAAAAAAAGAAGTCTAAAGAAAACCTTCATTGACTCAGGGGACATAATACAAATTATGGTGACCTGCATATAAAACCTGGCACCAAATTTGGCCTTTGGGAACATTTATGTATAAAAATATGCATTAAAATCCGCACCAGGGCACAGTGCAGAACTGACAGCCCCGACAGGAGTGACCACAAAGGCATATGTGGTAGGTGGACACAAGGAGTCCTTGGTCCTCCCAGCCTCAGGGTGAGCCCTGAATGAGAATGGCCTACTCCAAAGAGAGGTCAGAAGGCAGAACCCCTGTGAGCACCAAAATGCCACAAGCCTGGTGTGAAACAAAAACGGTGCTGGGAAGGACAGGGGAGAAGGTCGTCTTTCTTCCCCTTGTCTCTGGGCTCTGCCCACTATTAGAAGATTCTGGCTCTCTGCTAGACAAACCATCTTTGATTTACCTTTAGAGGAACTTTTGCAATTTTCAAACATGTTTTTTTTCCCAAGTAAACCAATCAATTTGAACTCAAGGTTCCATATCATAATTAGCTTGATCTGAAAGATTAAGAACTAGTTCTTACATCATTTTCTGTAGAATGGCTAAAATCACAACAGAAAACAATGATGACCGCTTCCAATCTATTTTAGTCCTGGATCAAATGCAACTGAGCAATTCTGGCCCAGAAATTACACTTCACAGACAATGCAATGAAACGCAGTCAGGATAAATGCTGGAATTGCCCCATTCTGAGTGTGACCTCACTGAAGCCCTCAACTATCCACAAAGCCCCGGGGAGAGGCAGGGTCAATACTGCACATCTGTCTTCAAGAATGAAGACACAGCCCCTTCACTGGCGGGGCTGATCACTCTGGCTGAACAGAGCTCAAGACTGTTTGTCCACTGGCTATTCATTCACTGGGTCCCTGCTCTGCCCATCCTGTGGCTCTGTGGAAAGTGGCAGCTGTCCCTGACTCGCTGCTAAGCTGTTGCTCAAACAGTCTGGCTCCACAGATGGGAAACACACAAATGGGAACACCATAGAGGTGGAGAGGTGGAGGGTGGGCATGGGGAGCATCAGAAGATGCAATTGGGAGGAAAAGCCCTGTGGGCTTTGAGTATCCCACAAGAATGGCAGTGCCTCTACCGTTTCAGGGCTCCTGAGAGTTACTGAAAGGGCTGGGAGTCCTTGACATCACTCTAGTAGATTCAACAAAGGGAAAACAGCCACCCTACTGATTTCTATCCAAAGGCAGTGATTTTCTCAGTTGCCTCCAGGGTGGTTTTTTTTTCCCCTCCCAGTCCTTGGCATGTCTTGCTGCAGGGTAATCTGACACTTTTCCTCAACTGTGGCAATAAGTGAAAGGAGAGAGGAACAAAAGCATCTGAATCACAATTTAGGCAAAAAGCTGACAGTCACACAGGCTGTTAATGAGGGACTCTCTCTCTCTCAGGCAGCATAACTCAGGACACAGGTGCTGAGAGTAAGAGACAGGTAGCCCCTGTGTTAGTGAGGCCTGGCACCAATCATAGCACATCTTACAAGATTAAGAAAGCAGGACGACACTCTGCCCAGTTAGGGTCTTTTTGGGAGAGGAGGCGAAACTGGGCGCTCCTTTACAAAGTCTGGAGACATTTTCTACGGAACAAGGAGGAACTAAGTCCACTTCACTGCAAAGTGACCTGAGAACACCCTCTAGTGGAAATTATTAATAAAACAAGGATCGTGCACCCAATTCACCTTCTGATACAAGAATGGTTTTTAAATTCCCCATAAAATGAAGAAAAAAAAAAAAGAGAGAGAGAAAAACAACATATTAACTTTAAGAACACAAAAACAATTTTTAAAAGGCAGGAGTTCCCACCCATGCTTAGTACCCTGACTGCCAAATCACGTTCCTTCCTCAGACACTCTGACTTTAATATATTCTAAGAAAAGGAGACATGTCGTGGTGGGAGTTACTTGTCCCCTTAAAGTTTGGGAAGACTGCCTGCTGGTGCCAGAATGATGCCAAAGACGTAGAAAAGTCCCAGCAGGAGGTTGAGCTTGGCAGTCCTCTGGGGCAGTTTGTTGAAGGCCTGGCTTCGGAACTGTCTCTCAAGGGAGAAGGCCATGGGAATGGTGAGCAGGGGGAGCGCCAGGCTGATGGTGCAGTGTGTGGCCAGGATGCTGAAGACCAGGTAGGGCAGGAAGAGCAGCGTGTTGTAGAGAATATAGGAGAACGTGGGGCCGATGAGGATGGCCAGGGTGACGATGCCAGCCTCCCGGTCGGACTCCATGTCCCTGGTGTTGTTGGAATGGAGAATGGCCTCGGTGCTAAGGGCAAGGGGGATGGCATAGACCAGTGGGAAGATGGCCAGGGACCCCACCTGGATGGCGTAGGCGAACATCACAGCCAGCGGGCCAAAAGTGATGAGGATGATGAGGTCTCCCAGAGCCACGTATTTGAATCCAATTCCTGCGGCCAGAAAATCCAGAGAGTTGGTGTGAGACCAAGGCTTGAAATTTAGGGACTGTTCACCAGTGAAGAGGCAGGCCACTTCTGGCTGAAAATGGTAAATCCTTAGACTGTACAGGTAGGCACTCATTTCGTCCCTTAACCCCACAGAGGAAATTCTGATTTCTTCTCCAATGACACAGGTGCAGAGAGAATGCCCAGTGAGGCCTCAAGTCCCTCTTCTCAGGTTCATACCCAAGTTTCCCTTCCTACTGTCCCACAACAGAGCTCTGCAACATAGCACACTGGGCACCCACTACACTCTTAGTTCAATGGGAGAGCCCAGGAAGGATCCAAAAGTCTTAGAATCCAGTTCTTTGCTGTCTTTCACCCTTCACCAACCCCTGCAAGACACCGTGAGATCAATCCCTCACAGAACAGCCACCCCAGCCTTCTACTTTTCCACCTCCTTCCCCTACAATCTCAAGGCATCTTCTGGTTTTAAAAACCCCCAGTGAATCTCAGTGAAATTTCAGGGTCCCTAAACGGGCACCCCTGCAACAAGTAAAACAGTGAGGACAGGAGAGTCATAATGCTGCTTCCCTCCTCTGTCTCCCATGAGGTTGAAACTAAACCACCCCTACCTCCTGCTTCTGTCCTGCTTATCTACTTCAAAGACTGTCTAACCCACTTCCTTCAAAACTACCCATTCTCTCCATCCCCAGGGCCACACTCCATCACCCTTACCCCATTCCCAAATCTACCTCATGGTCATCTTATGCCTGGGATACTGCAACATCCTCCAAATTGGTCTACCACCTTCCAATCTCATAACCCCTCCCCCTCTCCATCCCTAATCTAATCTCTAAAAAGGAGTTGGAGTGAACCTTTAAAAATAGGAATCTGGCCGGGCGCAGTGGCTCACACCTGTAATCCCAGCATTTTGTGAGGCTAAGGCGGGCGGATCACCTGAGGTCAGGACTTCGAGATCAGCCTGGCCAACATGGTAAAACCCCATCTCTACTAAAAATACAAAAATTAGCCAGGCATGGTGGCACACACCTGTAATCCCAGCTACTCGGGAGGCTGAGGCAGGGGAAATGCTTGAGCCTGGGAGGCAGAGGTTGCAGTAAACCAAGATCATGTTATTGCACTCCAGCCTGGCAGACAGAGCGAGACTCTGTCTCAAAAAAATAAGTAAATAAACAAACAGATAAAAAAGGAATCTGACCACTCCCTCCCCCAACATACACTTAAACCCTTATCAACCACTCATCCTGGGGATAAAAGTTCCAGATCTTTAACCCGGCTCACCTGTGGCCCCGCCCCACCTCTCCTGCGTCACCTTGAGCTCTCCTCCCCTCTTCACACAGACTTCTTCCAATCCATCAGAGCCTTCAGACACCCCTCCTTGGTCTGGCTAACTCCACTTGCCCTTTAAGACTTTAAAGACCATTCCCCAGGACCACCTCCCCTCACCCCTAAGCCACATTTGATCCCCTTGCAATATGCTCCCATGGTAATGTGCCTGCCATATTCAAAAACTTCATCATGCTTCTAATTAATCTCCACCTTTCTCACTCAACTGTAAGTTCCATGAGGGCAGGACATGTGTCTGGCTTGGTCACAGCTCACTCCCCAATACTTGGCACAAGGGCTGAACTGAACACAGAGCTACAGTAACAAGCACCTGGAATTCGGGACCAAGGTGAGGAAAAAACCTCCCACTCAGACTGAAACAGGTAAAGCAGCATGGAATGGGTGAAGCTGAGGTAGGTGACCCACACACCGATTGCTACAGAAGCTTATAAAACTCCAGTTCCAAGCAAGTTACGAGATGTGGACTCAGGATCAGAAAATAAACCTCTGGTTAGGCATTTTAACCAGTCTAAAATGACAGATGTTCCCACTACCCACAGGAATCAAAATAAAATAAAATGACAGATAACAATGGTCTTCGAGGCTCAAAAGCCATGGGAGCTAAGGAACAAGATCCAGCCCAAGTTCCCCTTCACATCAGCGGCTGGGGTTCCTTGGTGCTAAATACACACCCTTAGTTCTTTAGAACAAAGTGTCTCCAGGGAAGGGCATTAAGGCATGGTCACTGGCACTCTCCAACACTTGGCAAGTTAATTCTGCACCCTCAAGACAATTTTTTTTTTCCTTCTATTTGGATGATTTTTATACCAAGCCATGTTTTCACAAATAATTTGGTCGTATGAGGACATGCCCTCCAGGAGGAAGTTCCCTCAAGCACAGAACGAGCTCCAGTTCAGAATTAGTAAATTGATGTCTCTTGCAATATCTCACACATTTAGGGGACTACACCCACCCAAAGACGACGCTGGGCAGGAATACTCCTAGCACAGACCTAGCCAGTTCCTCTATAGCTGCCCACTCTTGTTGTGCTTGTTTCCTCAGCTCCCCAAGAGACTCCACGGGTCTGGCTATGAAAGAAAATGCAACAGCACTGCAGCCTTGACCTTTGGCTGGATTCTCCAAGAACACCTCCTCAGATCACTTGGCAAAAACCAAGGTAAGCGGTCAGGCATGGCAGCTCACGCCTGTAATCCCAGCACTTTGGAAGGCCAAGGCAGGTGGACCACCGGAGATCGGGAATTCAAGACCAGCCTGACCAACATGGAGAAACCCTGTCTCCACTAAAAATACAAAAAATTAGCCGGGTGTGGTGACGCATGCCTGTAATCCCAGTTACTCGGGGGGCTGAGGCAGAAGAATCGCTTGAACCCTGGAGGCAGAGTTTGCGGTGAACTGAGATCGCGCCATTGCACTCCAGCCTGGGCAACAAGAGCAAAACTCCATCTCAAGAAAAAAAAAGGCCGGGCATAGTGGCTCACGCTTGTAATTCCAGCACTTTGGGAGGCCACGGCAGGCAGATCACCTCAGATCACCTGAGGTCGGGAGGTCGAGACCAGCCTGACCAACATGGAGAAACCCCATCTCTACTCAAAATCCAAAAAAAGTTAGCTGGGCATGGTGGCGCACGCCTGTAATCCCAGCTCCACGGGAGGCTGAGGCAGTAGAATCGCTTGAACCCAGGAGGCAAAGGCTGTGGTAAGCAGAGATCACACCATTGCACTCCAGCCTGGTCAACAAGAGCTAAATTCTGTCTTTAAAAAAAAAAAGGATGATGTAAGCAAGGTTGAGCAGAGGTCTCTGTCCCCACCCCAAAACCAAGAGCAACCCACTCTGGGGAGGAAAAAGATCTGGTTATCTGACACAAGAAAACAGTAGAGCCCTTGGGGAGAAAGCCGTTTCCTAGCATTTGATACATGGCCCAAGGCTCATGTGCTCTACCTGATTCAAAGACGTGGCCCATCTGGGAATTTCCTTTTAGGCATTCCTCCTCTCCCAACCCCACTTTCTGAATGAGCTTACATAGTGAAATACTGGGCCAGTTCTCCACATGGCAGCCAGAATGAATCTGTTAAGACATAAATCAAAAAGTTGGCAAGATGCAGAGCAACTGGAACTCTTGCTGGTGGGAGTGTAAAGAAGTACAACCACTTCAGAAAACAGTTTGGCAGTTTCTCATAAAATTAAACATCATCTGCCCTGTGACCCAGCAATTCCACTCCTGGGCATTTACCCAAGAAAAATGAAAACAAATATCCACAAAAAGACTTGAACATGAATGTTCAGTCATAATAGCCAAAATATGGAAGCAATCCAAATGTCCCTGAACAGGAGAATGGAATAAGAAGTTGTGGTATGTTACAATGGAACGCTACTCAGCAAGAAAAGGGATTACTGATACACACAACAACGCAATGAATCTCAAAAACATCACGCTGAGCAAAAGAAGCCAGACGAGAGCTCAGACTGAAATAAATACACATGCATACATAGATAGTTCATACTGAATGGCTCCATTTGTATGACCAGGGAAACCTAATCTATGTGAGAGAAATCAGAACAGTGATTCTTTCCCTGCCTCTGGATGGGGGCAGGGAGTGTGGGATTGACAGGCAAGAAGCACTAGGAAGCTTCCGGGGGTCATGGAAGTGTTCTGGATGATGATGGGAGTGTGGGTTATGCAACTGTATACGTTTGTCAAAATTCATCAAGCTGCAACACTAAAAATCTGTGTATTTCACTGTGTGTCAATTATACGTCAATAAAAGTCAATGTTTAAAAATATCCTAAACCAGATTATGTCACTACTCTGCTCAATATATTTCAATGCCTCCCCATTTGTTCATTGGATGAATATTTACTAAGTAATATTACATGCCACGCACTGCTCTGGGTGCTAAGGGTTCAGCTAAGACCAGAGACAGAAATCCCTGACTGCAGGGAGGGAGCTCGCAGTCTAAGGGGGAAGATAATTAACGAATTAAGTACTTTATATGGCACATTAGAAGGTAACATGTGCTATGAAGAAAACTAACCACAGAGAAGAGCAGCAGGGGAGTATCAGGTAGGGGCACAGAGCAGGTGTGTGATTTCAAGCAAGGTAGAAAGCAAGGCCTCACTGAGAGCTGACATTTGGGCAAATAGGTGAAGGAAGTGAGAAAGTGAACCCCACTGTTAGAAGCAGGAAAAGCATTTCAAACAGAGGAAGCTGCAACTACAAAGGACCTGAGGGAGGGGCAGGAGGGGTCAGGCATGTTCCTGGACTAGAAAGGAGGGCAGTGTGGCTGGCCCAGGATAAGCAGGAAGAAAGGAGGAGGGTGGGTCAGAGAACTGGGGGGAGGGCAAAGGGTGGGCAAAGAATGTAGGACCCTGGGGGGTCACTGTAAAGACCCTGGCCTTTACACTGAGCGAGATGGGAACCACTAAAGAGTTCTGAGCAGGACTGACAGGGCTGCCCTGTATTTTAACAGAATTACTCTGGTGGCTGAGTGGGAACAGCCTGAACAGGACCAGAACAGAGGTAAAGAGACCAGCTGGGAGCCTGCCGCAAAAATCCAGGGACAGATGATCACAGTGGTGGCTGGAGACAGTAAGAAGTGGTCACATCCTATAATCATTTTGAAAGGAGAGTCAACAGAATTTGC